GGATCAGTGGTGTGGTCTTGGTGATGTCCCCAAATGTTTCGCCAGAGGTTGGGTATGGAAGCATAGTAGGAGTTCAGTCCCCAAGGTTTGCCCGTTGTTAGAGAGTCATGAGTGCTCAAGGCAGGCCTCAGTATCATGTACTGCTGACCTATAAGGCAGGCCTCAGCATCGTGATATGGCTCTGATATCAGCACTGCCAGTTAACACTGTGATATAGCCCTGCTGATATGGGTCACCTCCAGACCTGCCACTGGTGGACTGGGCTCCTGTTGTAGGAAGATACTTCCCGGGAGTGGCGTGTGGGCAGTGTGTGTGCACGAGTGCCTGGGGAAGCCTGCTGTTCTCAGTCCTGGATGAGCCACCACCCCTCTGTGGAAGAGAAGGAAGGACACACCTGTGTCCCTTTGCCCTACAGAACTCTGTTTGTTAAGCAAACACAGTGTCTGACTCCGTGCCTTCCTGTGGGTGGTTCTCTCTCCTGGCTTTCACCAGTTTCCAAGGCTGGTGCTTGCCCTGGATCACAGCTCAGTTTTACAGTTCCTTCCTTGACAATAGAAGCCGCCCACCTGTATGTGTGGCTCACTTACTAAGTGCCAGTCACTGGGTGTGTCTTCACTCAGTCTGACAAGCCCTCCCTGGTAAGTGGTATCACATCACTTTTGTGAGTGGGAACTGCCACCACTCAGTCACATGACCTTTGACTCCACAGTCTCTTGGCTGGAGGCTGCACCCTGACCTAAGAGATATGTAGGGGCTGTATTTTCACTTTTCCCTACATATTTCAAATTCAGAATGTTTCCTTCTTATACATATGAGTGTTTCCCCTGAATGTATGTATGTGTACCGTACATATGCCTGATGCCCGTGGAAGCCAGAAGAGGGCACTGAATCCCCTGAACTGGGAGTTGCAGATGGTTGTGAGCTGTCCTGTGAGTGCTGGGAATGGAATGAGATCTTTATAAGAGCAGCCAGTACTCAGATTCAGAAAGTTGAAAGGGAAGGCCTTGGAGGAGGCCTGTGTCACTGCCTGGATGTCCCCCCTCCCTCTCACAGGCTGCAGTGGATGTGAGGCTCTCCTGCACACGCCCGCACTCAGGCCTGTGTATTTCCTCCTGACTTCAGGCTGCTCCGTTTTTTTGTTTTTTTTTCCCTGAGTGGGGCCTTGGATCAACTCAACACCCAAAAGACATCTTGCTGGGTGATTTTCTTGAAACAGGGTCTTTCTATGTTACCCAGGTTGACCTTAAACTTGGAATCTTATTGCCTCAGCCTCCCAGATCTGGTTTCAAGTAAATTTCTTAATCTGCCACCCATCCTGACCACCTTGTTCTTTTTAGTGACACCTAATGTCCTGGGTATGGATGCCCTGCCTGTGTGTCTATGTATAGTGGCACGTATGCATTTTTGGTGTAAGACAGACCCAGCCCTGAGAGTTTCTGTAGGTATTGTGATGCATGGGTGCGCCTTCTAAAGGCTGAGAGAGAGCATATAACTTTGCGGGACTTGGCAGACTGCCTTGTGAGGGCTGTGGCCAGTTCCCTTGTCCACCCGGAACTGTGTGTGTCATATCTTCATTGCACACGCCCCTCAACTCTGTGTTTTGGCCATATAGGGACTTCTGAACACTGTGCCCGAGATGCAGGACAGGAAGTCTTTTGGACTTGAAAAGGTCTGCTCTTTAGCTTTTATTCACTGTCAGAATACTCTCGGGAGTCTAGACTTGGGATGGGGAATGTCTTGTGTAGGAAAAAGCCTTCCTAAGATGTGTAAAGTCCCCTTTAGCTGAGTGAAGAGGGGTTATATCATGTAGAGTGGATAGCTAACGCTGCCCGTGCCCTTAAGCCCCAAAAGAAGTCAGAGTCAGGAGGTCCTACCACCCTACTGTATGACTGCATGACTGAGCTGTCATTGACACCTTAGGAAACGTCTCTGCAGCTGTTACCTCACTTCTTCTTTGAGGCGATGTCATAAGTTAGGCAGGAAGGTGCCATTTCTGTCCCGTGGGTGGCAAAGTGATATCAGACACTTGCCCCATAACTGTGGACTGGTCAGAACCTGACTTCAATCTCTTGGAGAACAGCTGGGTCCCTGGAGCAAATGTGGCTCCAGCTGCCAAGCTCTGTGTCAGATGCACCTTCCCTGGAAATCCCTCTGGAGGAGGGACTGGGGCTGTGGAAGCCACAGGCGGTTCTCCAGATCTACTGTCTTACTTCATGACGCAGGTTTGTTTCCAGGAAAGCTCCCCGGCCCCTTGATTCCTCCTCATTTGCTCTTTTAACAAGAGAATCTGGAATGGCTGTTCTCTGTTCAGGGTAAGGATACCCTTCTGAGGACATGAGCACTAGCTGAGTCTGCGCCCTTAGCAGAAATGATGCTGATAGAAACTTGGCGTCCCACTTCTGGCTCCACCATGGCATAGCATTTCAGACATAACGGGAACTCCTTGGCCCAGCCCCATCGTTTATCATCTGTATGATTGCAAGTGAAATTCTTAGTCTGCCTGAGCTCCAGTTTCTTCATATGTAGAGAAGTCTTCTTAGAAGCTAGGTGCGACGGTGCCCGCTCATTGTCTCAGCACTCAGCTGCACAGTGTTGAAAATGTCACTAGCATTTCTTAGTTTTGTATTATCCCTAGGTCTGGCCTCTGGCCGTGTGGCGGTCACTGTCATCCTAGAATCTCACAAAGCCATAGCTTGCTCATTAAAACCCAAGACTCCCCTGGCATAGTAGTGTGTACCTATAATCCCAGCACTCAAGAAACAAAGACAGGGACATTGTAATGACTTTGAGCTAGACAGTAATATTCTATTTCATAAACAACCATAGTCAAACTCTCTATCTTTGCAACTTGATGCATAATTAAATTCATAAACAAGTTAGGCACATTTCTTGTTAACGTTGACTATTTATTTATTTATTTTTGAGGCAGGGCTTCACTGTTTAGTTCTGGCTGTTCTGGAACTTGCTTTGTAGACCAGGCTGGCCTTGAACTCACAGAGTTCCGCTTACCTCTGTCTCCCAAGTGCTTGGATAAAGGTGTGCATCCCTACCACCTGACTTAACATTGACTATTTAGGCATTAAAAATATTCTCCTCATGGGCTAGGATCATAGCAAGGAAGCCCTGGGTTCAGTCTCTACCACCGCATAAACACGGTGTGTTTGCACGCATCTATAATCCCAGTACTGAGGACATGGAAGCAAAAAAGTCAGAAATTGAAGGACCTCCTCAGCTACACAGAGACTTTCAAGGCCAGCCTGGGCTACATTAGACATTGTCTTTTTAAAAAATTCCAACCAGAAAGCCAGACGATGGTGGCGCACACCTTTAATCCCAGCACTCGGGAGGCAAAGGCAGGTGGATCTCTGTGAGTTCAAAGCCAGCCTGGTCTACAAGAGCTAGTTCCAGGACTGGCTCTAAAGCCACAGAGAAACCCTGTCTTGAAAAACAAAAAGCAAATAAAAAATTCTGACCAGAAGCCGGGTGGTGGTGGTGGTGGCGCACGCCTTTAATCCCAGTAGTTGGGAGGCAGAAGCAGGCGGATCTCTGTGAGTCGAGGCCAGCCTGGTCTATAAGAGCTAGTTCCAGGACAGCTAAGGCTGTTACACAGAGAAACCCTGTCTTGAAAAACAAACAAACAAACAAACAAACAAAAAATCCGACCAGAAAGCTGTTCGGAGCTGGAGACCAGGCTAGCACTGACTGTGTGCTCAGAACTGGCTAAATGCCACCAGCCTGCCCTGCCTTCATGACCCCCTGACTCAGAGCACTGACCTTTTCCAGGAAGTACCCTTATTCTTGCTCAAATTTTCTTTCATCTTTTTAGTGTCTGAATCCAGTCACAGCTACCAAGTTTTGTTAAACATCCAAAGTGTGCTGGGGACAGAGTCCCTGGGACCACACATCCTCCAACAGCATGCTCTTTGAGCTCACTCTCCTTATTGCCCCGCTGATGTTGGGGGATGGATTGTTTTCCATTATTTTAATGGATCTCACAGTCGCTATCTCTGGCAATCTTCCTGGTCCTTGATGCAATTTGAAGATATTTGTGGAGTTAGCAGGTTTACCTAGCAGGCAATTTTATGGTTTGTTATTTTTCATGTCTTACTTCATCCTAGAACTTAAGAAAGCTGTAGTTCTTATCATTGCATGGTTCTGCCTTTATACGTAATTAAGGGAGGCCTGGGTAGTGGGGTAATTGGGGAGTTGCTGGTAGCACAGATTCTCAGCTCTCTTGCCTGCCTCTTTGAGCCCCACCACTTACCGACTGTGATGCCTTAGAGTCAAGAACTTTGCTCTTTGCCTTTGGGTGCTCATCTGAGAAGTGGGTGCCTGATTTCTCCACCTCTCGTGCTGTGGCTGAGCCACATGAGTATGCCCTTGAAAATGCGGACTTGCTTCTTGGCATTTACTACTGATGTGTTTAGTAAATCAAATGCAGAGACCAGCTTCCACCTGCCCTTCAATCCAGGGACTCCTTTGAGAGGTGCCTTTGGAAAAACCCCAAACCAAGGGGCTGTCTCAGAAGTGGATTTATTTACCCATTGGGCCAGGGTTTCTTATCTTCCTGCTGTATCTGGCTCATAGGACCTCGGTTCTAGGGAAGCGGTATACCCATTTCAGATGATGGGTCTTCCCTGCAGAGACAACTGAGCAGCCCCCGTTCAGAACCTGGACATACACACAGTCTTGCTGACCGCCCCTCGATGCTGACTTTCTCCTCTGAGATGTTACTATGGATCAGGGGTTGGACAGCTAGCAGGGTCCACATCACTTGTGCTCTGTAGCCTGAACCCTGCCCAGAGCTGGCTTAGGCTAGGCCTTGGGGATTCTATTCAAGGGGCCAGGTATCTCAGCCTGTTATGAGCTTTCTGGCGTTCCTTTGGGGGTGTGCTGTGTGTTTTAGGGAGGGTGGGGCAGAGGGAGAAGGGGAGAGCACATTGTCTGGAGGGGTCTTGGGGCTTCCAATGTAATCATGACTGTTTTCTCTTACAGAACCTACAACCATGGTGGTGCTACCGGCCAGCTCAGAAGCCCAGGTATTGAAAAGCAATTTTATTTATTTTTTTTAATTTTTATTTCCTTCTTTAGTTAAGTTTGCTTTATTATTTAATTTATCTATTTATATTTTATGTATGAGTGCTCTGCATATATACCTACACACCAAAAGAGGGCACCAGATCTCATTACAGATGGTTGTGAGCCACCATGTGGTTGCTGGGAATTGAACTCAGGACTTTTGGAAGAGCAGCCAGTGCTCTTAACCTCTTTTTTCCCCACTTTGGTTTTTTTAGAAGGGTTTCTCTATAGTTCTTTTCTGAAGCCTGTACTGGAACTAGCTCCTGTAGACCAGGCTGGCCTCGAACTCACAGAGATCCTCCTACCTTTGCCTCCCAAGTGCTGAGATTAAAGGCGTGCGCCACCACTGCCCAGCTGCTCTTAACCTCTGAACCATCTCTCCGGCCCCCTCAAATACCTTCTTGCTTTATTTCAGTTTTTTTTTTTTTTTAATGAGTGATACTTCTGTTTCTTCTACTTGTTTCCCAAAAGGTGTTCAAGAGTGGAGACCACTTGTATTCTAGAATGAGAAGGGACCTTTGGGGACCCGAAAAGAGCACCGTCTGAGCAACAAACAGAGCCAGAGAGAGGAATTTCAGGGCATGCTGCCTGCCCTGATGGTTTTGTTCTTTGAAACGTTGCCTTTTATTGCCTTTTCAAAGCATAATTTTAATATAATAATAATTTACAGGCTGGATGCAATGGTACATACCTGTAATTCCAGCTACTTGGGAGACTGAAGCTTTGAGGAAAAACAAAGAAGAGATATAAAGAAAGGGAGGGAGGAAAGAAACCTTTGCGTGTCTGTATTTATTTAGCATGGTAGCACTCCAAGGGAGAGGTGAGAATGGACCGGAGGATTTCCATCATCCGCTGTCCCTGTTTCTGCTGCTGCTTCCTCCTCTAACTTCTCTGCCTAGATTTTCCTCAAAGGGAAACATATTATATATTTTCTTACATTTTATTTATTTATTTATTTGAATTTTGTTTTGAGACAGAGTCTCTTTACCTCACCTGGCTGTCCTAGATCGCACTGTGAAGACCAAATTGGCCTGGAACTCACAGATCCAGCTGGTTCTGGCTCCCAAGTGCCAGAATTAAAGGCGTGTGCCAGTATACCCAGCTGGCACTACATCTTATCACCCCACATACTTCTTGATGCCAGTGAGAGTGTATCCCTGCTTCCACGGAATGCTGTCACCTAAGCAACACTGCTGAGTGTCACCTAGGAGCTCTGTGAAGACAGTCATTTTTTACATATAGGTAGCTAGAAATTGGGGAAGAGCAGCTGTATTTCTGGTGCATCTGCACTGTCGTGTGACTGCAGTTGTCTGTACACACAGCTGTAGAAAGTTTATTTCTCCAAGTGCAGGTCTGCTGGCCTGGGAGGTCAGCTGATGCTTGCTGTCCAGAGTTCACAGAGGTGAAACTGCTACCTACTACCTAAAGGATGCCTAGTGTTACACACCATCAGAATGCTTGGGAAAGCTTTGAGTGAAGGAGTCTCACATGGACCTCATATGGACTGTTCTCAGAGGCCCAGGTGTTAACCTGAACACTCCATCCCCAGGAAATAGGGCGGGGGAGCCACTCAAAGTCTTGCTTCTGGATACTTAGGTTTCATGAACCGCCTAGGCAGCCCCTCTAATTGCTTTCAGATTCCAGGCTGATGGCCATGCTTGAACTTGCAGGTTGGAGGTCCTGAGACTGGCCAGCCGCCAGGCTCTTCCTAATGGAAAGCATTCTTTGTGTTCCAGAGAAAGTTTCCAGTGAGCTGAGGCACTGAAAAGCTTTTTGCCAAGGAAGCCATCAGATAAGAGGCTTGGCTGGAGTTAACTCTTCCCCTTCCTTCTTGCCACATAAGCCAGCACTGGGCAGGGGGTGGGGTGAGTAGCCTGGATGGATTGGATTACCTTTCTACAGGCTGCACTGGGATGGGCAGGAGGGCTTCCTGCTCGCTTCTCAGTCTGTCTTTCTCCATGGAGTCCTGTGATTTCCACTGGAGACTTTGCCACACTAAGCATCACAGAGCTGTGAGGCACACTGGAGATCTTGGACCACCTTGCTCTTGCCTGGCATCTACAACACAAGAATCTACCGTGTGACCTCTCCACGTTTTTGTCCCCTTACCTTGCTAGCTTTCTCTTTCCACTGTCACACCTGAGAGCAGTCCTGAGACAGTCTCTGGAGTCCCCAGTTTCCCTGGGTACTCCATCCTGGCTGGTGGCCAGAGCCCTGCCATTTGCCTCCTGTCAGGTGTGACTAGCCACTGGATGTTGGCGTCATGCCCTGCATCCAAGGGAGTGCCTTAGAAACAGTCTATGACTTTAACCTGCTTAAAGTAGATGAAACTAGGGTGAGAGCAGCCCCAAGAGTGGGCCAGACTTTGGTCCATTGTGACTTTATTCTTCTCACCAGTCTTCTTGAGTCAAGGGTTACCTTTCCCAGACCCCTCAGGCTCCAGCATCTTCTGGAATGTCCCTGTAGGTCTCAGAGACCTTACCTCTTGCCTGACCCTGCCTTTGACCTGTTCTTGCTCTGCTGCCTTAGGCTCAGGTTTCCTAGGATACCTTGCTAGCCAGAAACGAGTGGAAGAGGCCACTGGGGCAAGGTGGTACCAGAAAGTGGACAGTCTCCTGATGAGGCTCTGGATCCAACAATGTCCTTTCACCCTAGCAATATAACAGAAAGCTTAGAGCATAGCACAGACCCAACTTCAAGATCTAGCTTGGCCAGCTTCTAGCTGTGATGAAGTGGCCTAACATAGCTCTGCTTCTGTCCCTCTGTATATGAGATGGGAGGTTGTGTCATGGGTTGTTGAAGTTAAATAGGATGAGTTTTACATAGGCTTAGCATAGCGTCTACATAGTAGAGCTGTTATTTTTATGTGTATGTGCCTTTGATAGTCTTTTCTTCTTAACAAATATTTTACATATATTTTTTTGTATTTATCTATCTATCCATTATTTTGCTTGCATGTATGTCTATGTACTATGTGCATATCTGGTGTTTGAGGAATTCATCAGAGGGTTTTAGATCCTCTGTAACTGGAGTTATGGAAGGTTGTGAGCCACCATGCAGGAGCTGGAAATGGAACCCAATGCTCTTAACCAGAGAACCCATCTCTCCAGCCCCAGACAGTCTGTCCAAAGAAGGAAAATATGAAAACTATTCAGTAGTACTGGAAATTGATCCTCAATTAAGAGTACTGGCTACTCTTCCAGATGATCTGGATTTGATTCTCAGCACCCATATGGCAGCTCACAGTGTCCGTAACTGCAGCCCCAGGGAACCTGGCACAGGCTTACATGTAGGCATAATACCCATACACACAAAATAAAAATAAAATTAAAAAATCATATTTTTATGAAATTTTTATGCTTATAATCTTTTGGGGAGCTAAGACAGGAGGCTTAAAACTTTGAGGCCACATAGCAAGACCCTGTCTAAAAATGGGTATTGTGGAGACTTTCGGGAAGCTCAGTCAGCTGAAGGCCCCAGAGCTTCGCACGGTCAGCTCCACCACCCGAGAGCCTCTCACGGTGCGCTCCACCACCTGAGAGCCTCGCACGGTGAGCTCCACCACCCGAGAACCTCGCACGGTCAGCTCCACCAGTCCCCAGGGCCTGACCCGCATCCTCAGTGCCTTCATGCTCATCACATGCCCTCAGGTGGGGCTGGGTGTAGTATGGTGGAACAGCCCTGTAAGGCCTTCACTCAGGTGACTGAAGCAGGAGGATTGTTAGTTTGAGGCCAGCTAGGGCTACCTAGATACCCTGTCTCAAACAGCAACTAGATGGGTATAGACCTGTAATCCCAGCTCTGTGGAGGGAGGTAGGAGGATCAGGAATAAACTTCACGAGATACTACTACCTTCAAAAGCAAACAAACAGAGCCAGGCGGTGGTGGCGCATGCCTTTAATCCCAGCACTCAGGAGGCAGAGTCAGGTGGATCTCTGAGTTCGAAGCCAGCCCAGTCAGAAAGTGAGTTCCAGGACAGCCAGGGCTACACAGAGAAACTCTTGTCTTGAAAAACAAGAACAAAAAAAGCAAGAGAAGAAAAATAGTGCTGGAGAGTTGAGCTGTGGTTAAGAGCACTAGCATCTGGGAGGCAGAGGTAGGCAGATCTGTGTGAGTTGAGGCCAGTGTGGTCTGCATAGTGAGTTCCAGGACAGCCAGGCAGAGAGCCCCGTCTCAATAAATGAATAGATAAATAAATAACAAAGTATTTTTCTTTTTGAGACACGGTCTAACCGAGTAGCCCTGGCTGGCCTCAAACTCACATAGCTCCTCTGGCGCTGCCTAGGGCTAAAGGCGTGAGTTGTTTGCTCAGCATGACATAATTTTTTGGTCAGCACAAATGTCCATCTGTTTTTATAATGCTGTGAGTCACCCATTACTGTAACAAACTCCTTAGATAATCAGAAAACGTGAGGTTTGGCTGGGACTGTTGGCACAGTGAGAAAGTGTGTATTCAGCGTGCCACACGGCTCTGGTTCAAGCTCCACTGGGGTAGAAGGTCATTTTGGTTCACAGTTTTGGAAGTTTCAGCTCACGGCCACTTAGTTCTAATGCTTTAGGACTATGGTGATGTAACATGCCATAGCAGGATTTCACGGAGGAGAAGGCTGCTTCTCTCTTGGCTGGGTATGAAAAGAAGGAAAGTTGGAAGCCAGTTTCTAATAGTTTCCCAATGAGCTGGAGACCTCCCACTCAGCACCTCCTCTTTGTTTATTTTTGACAGAGTCTAACTATGTAGCCCATCCTGGTCTGGGATACACTCTGCTTCCCAAAAGCTAGAATTAAAGGTGTTCTCCATGCCCAGCAAGCCCACCTCTTAAGAGTTCCACCAGTTCCCAGTGGAAACCAGCCGCGGCCTAATGCTTTAACACATGGGCCTCTGTGGACATCTAAGAATTAAGCTCTAGGGTTAATCAGGCCAGGGTATGATGTAGTGATTGAGTGCTCTCATGTTATCTGTGAAGTGCTAGCTTTGGTACCCAGCTCTACAAAATAAAAATTAAAAAAGAAAAAGAAAATCCCCAGCCCCCAAAACTACAGTGGTTAAGAAACATCATGGCAGCAGTTGCTCAGTCAACTGGTCTTTCTCCTTTGATGTGAGCCATCCTGTTATATTACATGAGAAACTAATGCTTAGCTGGATTATCTCATTCATGTGTATATATATATATATGGGGGGGGAGGGACATACATACTGTGCAGTCAGCACCAGAGTCAAGACAAGTCCTTTCCAAGTCCTTTCCTTTCCCATGCCAACTGTGCCCCGGCTCAGGGAACTGCTAACTTCTCCATTGCTGTGGATGGGCTCAGCTTGCTTAGAGTCATGCAAGTGGGACCACACTGTATAAAGGTTTTTCGTCTGGTCTGTGGTGTGTGTGTGTGTTTCCTGTTCTATAGTGCCCCATTGTGGGCACACCCCTGTCTCTACTATGAAGCGCACATGAGTAGTTTATCATGTGTGGATGATAAATCATGTGTGGATGAACTTTTCCTTTCTCTGGGTTAAATACCTCGGAGGGGAGGGGCTGAATCACATGCTTCAGTGCATATTGCTAAGACTTTTCCTGTTTTCTACAGTGACTGTGCTCTTTGGGGTACATCTTTTTGACAGTAGTTCATGTTTTGTTTGTGCCATGATTCCCTTCTGGCAAAGAGGTGGTATATTTTTTTTAATCTGGTATACATCGATTGATGTTTTGCCTGCATGTATATCTGTGTGAGGGTGTTGGATCCCCTGGAACTTGAGTTACAGACAGTGGTGTGCTGCCATGTGGGTGCTGGGAATTGAACCCAGGTCCTCTAGAAGAGCAGCCAGTGCTCTTAAGCAGTGAGCCATCTCTCCAGCCTCTAGAGGTGATATTTCCATAGCACTGTTGTAGGTGGCACTGTGATCTCTTCCCCCTGCCTGTCATTCTGTCTGACATCACTGTCAGTTCTATGATGGTGGGTGCTGCTGGTTGTGGGCCCCAGTGCCCTTGTGGCTTGGAATGCCGTCTCTGGTGACCTTATGACTTATCTGTCCCTTAGATGGTGCAGTCACTGGGCTTTGCTATCTACCGTGCACTGGACTGGGGCTTAGATGAGAGTGAGGAGCGAGAGCTCAGCCCGCAACTGGAGAGACTCATCGACCTCATGGCCAACAGCGACTGTGAGGACAGCAGCTGCGGGGCAGCAGATGAGGGCTATGGCGGGCCAGAAGAGGAGGAGGAGGCTGACGGCGGCCCCCGAGCTGTGCGCACCTTTGCTCAGGCCATGCGGCTGTGTGCTTCGCGCCTGACTGACCCCCATGGCGCACAGGCCCACTACCAGGCGGTGTGCCGGGCTCTTTTTGTGGAGACGCTGGAGCTTCGTGCCTTCCTGGCCCGAGTGAGGGAAGCCAAGGAGGTGAGTGAGATAGGGGCTGCAAGTGGAAGGGCTGGTGCTGGGTGGATCGAAGGAGGTGAATGGGGGATGGGGTGCAGATCGGGTGGGGATGGATGGAGGCAGAGAGGCAGTGGGGCCCATCCTCAGTCGGCCAACAGGGGTTAAGGTCTTTGGTGCCTGACTGTACCTTCCTAGGAATACCCATAACTTTCCCCCTCCCCCACATGCTGGGCACTGTCCAAAATGTTTCATACATTTTTAACTTCATGGCTTCTTTTCGCCCAATTTTCAGTCAGGAATCAGGGAGTGCACATTACATTACATTACTGTCGCCTCGAAATTAGCTGTTACCCTCCCTGAGGCCACTTTTACTGGTTGGCCTCTCCCAGCCCCGGTTCCTCCTGAAAATGTGATGTAAAGACAGCCACCTCTTCCCTTGCAGAACCACACAGGCAGGCCCATGGACTTGGAGATTTGGGGTGGGTTGGTGAGAGAACCTTTCAGGGCATTGACTGTGCTTGCCACAGCCCTACTTCCTTCCATCTTACAAATGAGTTAGGGTCCCTCATCCCAGTGTCAGAGCTGTCTAGGATACAGCCGGCTTCTGAGCGACTTCTCCCAACCCAGAGTTAGGGCTTGGCATCTTTCGGCTGTCTCCATTCTTCCTGGGAGGAGTTGTTTAAGTTAGTTGATGTTGATCTCTGGTTCCACCCTGCCCTTTTCTGTGCCCTATCTCCTTTTCTGTAGCCTAGAAAGGTCCTAGCTACTACTAGCATCCTGACCCTTTGGAGCCTGCACAACCTTTCAGGCATGTTTGAGTAATGGAATCTGGGACCCAGCTTGAACCCATTGATCCTCCCCTGTAACTCTTACATGCCGACCTTGGGAGGTCCTCTTGGCTCGCAGTATTCAGTGCACCATCCATCCCCACCTTCTCTCTCAGCTCCTCCCTGGCATCTCAAAGACACTCTTCTGACTGTGCTCCCTGTGGCTGGCCCGTGGCCCTTGGGGTTTTGTCTTTCTTTGAACATGGCCTGTTCTGTTGCTGGAATCAATTCCTTACCCGGACAAATGAACTTTAGCAGGGGCACACAACTCTATATGACACTCCACTAATCCCAGAGAGAGTCATGGGATGGGTGCTGGGGATACAGGCTCCTGGACAGACACATCTGGGCTAGTCTGGGCTGGCGATTTTGGACAGAAGCAGGTGCGCAGGGTCCGGTGTAGCTATTCTAAGTAGGACAGGAGAGCCATCCTCTTTGCTCCTTGCCCCGGGAATCCCACACTATAGTGTGTGTTCAAGCAGTTTGGCAAGTAGCTTAGAGAAAGCTAGCGTGCCCAGTTCTGGCCCTGTAGGATGGGAGCGGCTGCAGGACGGATGCGTCTCTGTAGTGAGGAGTTAGTGTGAGCAGAAGCTCTGGACTGCCACCCAGACCCAAACCATCTAGGCAGCGAGTCCAGCATCTCTCCCCAAATTCCCAGTTGCCTGAGTCCCTGGCATCTTAGCATTTCATACCTGGACTCCCTCCTAGGACCTGCTGGTTGGCTCATCCTGTCTTCTACCTACCTTCAATCCCACCCATACTTGAAGACTAACACTTGCCACACTGTGCTGGGCTCCAGACTTAGAGCAGCAGCCGAGGAAGCCTACATAGCTGTTAAGAGACAGGCCCTTGGTGACCTCTAGTATGGGCCATGTGTAGAGAAACAGCCATGAACATGCCAAGAGAATAGGTGGTCTCCTGGCTTGGCTAGGGGTCCTGAGGTGTTGGGTGAACTGAAATCTGGAGGGCAACGGGGAGTGCTTCCCCTTCTGTGTCAACCACCTGCGGAGGACAGTGCCTCTCTGAGGCACGTAGGTCCCAAGGGAGCCATGCGGGCGCCAGGCTCTCACCAGGCCTGCTCAAGAGAAGTCGCTAGAGAGAAGATTAAAAGTGTCCCCAGCTCTTTCCAAGCCCCCAGACCTGGGCCAGGTGCCTCTGTGGCTCCTTTGGAGCTGGCTGGGTGTAGAGCAGTGCCTCCTACTAGATGGGATCCTCAGGGCCCCGCTGTGTCCACACCTCTGCCACTTCTACACTAACTAGACATCTGGTCCCAGATGCTGCAGAAGCTGGGGGAGGATGAGCCACGGGTCGAAAAGCCACTGGCCGAGCTTGACCACCTGGGACACACAGACTGGGTAAGACATGGACTCCTGCCCTGGGACGGGGAAAAGCACAGTGCACCCAGAGGGTTTGTGCCGGGAGAGCCCTGGGTGCCACAGCTGAGGCTGTTTTCTTTTCCGGGCCAGGCCCGGCTGTGGGTCCAGCTCATGCGCGAGCTGCGTCACGGGGTGAAGTTGAAGAAGGTGCAGGAGCAGGAGTTTAACCCACTGCCCACCGAGTTCCAGCTCACCCCCTTCGAGATGCTGATGCAGGATATCCGTGCCAGGAATTACAAGCTGCGCAAGGTCATGGTGAGCCACAACCCTGTCGTCCTCTGCCAGAAAACCTGGCCCTGTTCCCTTCTGCAGGTTCTTGCCCTGCGCCATTTACCCTGCCCTCTGCCCTTTGCCAACAGCCCTTGCCCTGCCCCTTGTGCTTGATCAGAGTTTGATACTCATCTGCAGATATGAATAAGGCAGATGTGGCAGGTTTCCAAAGTTCTTGGTTGTATTGGGAATACAGTATAATAATTAGGGCAAGGAGAAGGTTCTTGAGGATCAGGAGGGGCCCTATGAGCCAGCTACATTGGCGCACGCCTTTAATCCCAGCACTCGGGAGGCAGAGGCAGGCAGATTTCCGTGAATTCAAGTTTACAAGAGCTAGTTCCAGGACAGCCAGAGCTGTAGCACGGAGAAACCCAATCTCATAAAACCAAAAAGCAAAACAGACAAACAAACCAAAGAGCCAACCACGTTTTTCCATGTAACACACATTAGCAAAGCCTTGTGTACACTGGTATCACTCAAAATTTTATATAAAGCAATGCATTTCATTCTTCCGACAACTCCTGAGATGGGTCCTACAGCCCCATTTCCTGAAGGTTTAAGAAGCTCAGGCAGCTGAGGTTAGGGCTTGTAAGGACTCAGCTGCAGCTGAGTAGCCCATGTATCGGCTATGCACCTGAGTCCAGGGAACAAGAGTTCTTAGGAGGGAAGCTGACTGTGAAAACCAGGCCATAGTCAGGGCTGTGTGAGCCCCTCCTGGCCACCCTAACACAGCAGTTGGCCCTTGCAAGCTCAGCTTGACCCTGCTCCTCCTGGCAGGTTGATGGGGACATCCCTCCCAGAGTGAAGAAAGATGCCCACGAGCTCATCCTGGACTTCATCCGCTCACGGCCTCCACTAAAGCAGGTACCAGCTCTACACTTCCTCCTTGGGTATTGTGGGTCCCGCTGCTCTCTGGTGACCAATTCGGGCGCTGTCTTTTTTCTGAGGGAGATCACTGAGGGCTCTTTTGCCCGTTGGCTGGAAGGTTGGGCATGATCTCCAGTGTAGGGCTTGAGGGTCTGTGTTGTCTTCTTAGGGAGAATTTTCAGCCGTTTAGGCCTCACACCAGGTGTGCAGAAAGCCTCTTTGAGTAGTCTTCCTCCCGGGTTACCCCAGCATTTCCCTCCTCTAGAGTGGGCCCATGTCATCACCCTCCTCCCCTTCCTACTCAGTGTGTCATGTCGGCGGCAGGTCTCGGAGAGACGACTCCGCCCTGTACCACAAAAGCAGAGAACATTGCACGAGAAGATCCTGGAGGAAATCAAGCAGGAGCGGAGGCTTCGTCCAGTAGGGGCCCAGCACTTGGGTGCCCGTGGTGAGCAAGGCGGGGAGGGTGAGTGACGGGAGAGAAGACATCCCCCAGTGGACCTCGCTGGGGCTACAGATCAAATTCTGGGATGGTTAGCCCCAAGAGCTCCTGTGTGGGTAGAGGACCCAGGACCTCTTAATTTTTTTTAACTGTAAACTTAGAGGAATTATGCTGGGAGGCGGTGATGCACACCTTTAATCTCAGCACTCGGGAGGCAGAGGCAGGTGGATCTCAGTGAGCTCAAAGCCAGCCTGGTCTATAGAGTGAGATCCAGGACAGCCAGAACTACACAGAGAAACCCTGTCTCAGTGGGAAAAAAATTAAAAAGAAAAAAAAAATCTCCCAAACCTTAGAGGAGTTATAATGGCTTTGTGAAGTCTTAGGGGTCTATAAAAGTGAAATCATCTCGGGCTCCGGGTTTTGATCTGATTTTGCCTTTATTCATTGTTATATGGATGACAGATTTCAACATTTGGGAGTAACTCAACATTTGGGAGTAACTCAAATTTCTAACTGACTGGAAGCCAGATATATGTTCAAATATTTGAGACTTGGTCTTCCTTGCAAACTAAAGTCAGTGAACTTCAACCCTGCTCCTGCTGGAGCTCTCCTTTTTAGTTAGAGCTACTCTTTGTTAACTGGCTGACCAGTCTTCGGTTTCCCCTTCTAAGTGGAGAATTAAACCAAGTGGTACCATTCACTCCCATGTTGGCCTCCTCGTCCTCCTTGTTCACTGTCTCCTCCTGCCCCAGGCTGCTTATCCTTCCACTTAATCTCTCCTCCCATGCTGGCCTCCTCATCTGCCCTGTTTGCTGTCCACCCCTACACTGGACTCCTTGTCCTCCTGCTCGCTACCATTTTCACACTGGCCTCCTCATCTTCCCTCCTCCCTGTCCACTTCTACACTGGCTTTCTTTTCCTCCCTGCTCGCTGGCCACGTCTTCCCTGACCTTCCAGATCATTCCCCATTCTTGCCTTGTCTTCCTTGCTTATCCTTCGCTCTGGATTCCTGCTCCTTGCCCTCCCTGCCCCACGTTCACCCTTGTCCCGTTCTCCTTGCCTTTGCTGCTCACTCTTCATCCCTGTGCGGACTTCCTCTTCCTCTCCACTCACCATCCACCATGCCTTTGTTGTTCCTTCCTTCAGGGTTTGGTTCTCTGCCCTGCATCCTCAATGCCTGCTCTGGGGACATCAAGTCCACTTCCTGCATCAACCTGTCAGTCACGGATGCTGGGAGTGGAAGCCAGCGTCCGCGGCCTCGGGTCCTGCTTAAAGCCCCCACCTTAGCAGAGATGGAAGAAATGAACACATCTGAGGTCAGAGAATAGGGATTCTTCAGAAGATCATGCTGATGGGGCTGGGAAAGGCTTACAGGACAGGGGTCTGTTTGGTCAGCTGGGTAGACATCCTCTGCAGTCAACCAATGGGGTGGCAGGTAGCCCCTTCCCTATATTTTCAGCTCAGAAGTAGCCTTGGGTCAGTGGGACAGTGACTTCTGAGCACAGCAGGGGAAGTTACTTTCTGTGGCCAGAGGAGTGGCCTGAGTAGCCTTCAGGTGATGGGAGAGGCTAGCTGCAGTGAGGCTCTGACCCACTAGGATGGAAGATGACCTCAGTGCTGGCCATCTCAGAGGGCTCGGCATTCCTGCAGTATCTGTCTTCTCCAGGATTTTCTAGACGACCCCAGGGAATGGTTTGATTATTGAAACACTTGCCATGAGCTGTCCAGAAGATAGGAGATGTGAGCTGTGAGCTAGTGACGTGTAGAGAGGATAGTGCAGGGCCTTAGTGGGGTCGATTAACACTCTTGGATCCACTGCCTCGGTCCAAGGATGAGCAAAAGGTGCTGGGGGCAGCAATTGGGAGGGGGTAATGTTAGGAGGGGGTAGCGATCGGGAGGGGGTAGCAGTCAGGAGGGGGCAGTGGTCAGGAGGGGGCAGCGGTCAGGAGGGGCAGCGGTCAGATGGGGGCTGTGCCTGATGTGCTTTCAGGAAGAAGAGTCCCCCTGTGGAGAGGTAACACTGAAGCGGGATCGCTCTTTTTCGGAACATGACCTAGCTCAGCTTCGGAGTGAGATGGTCTCTGGCTTGCAGTCAGTCACTCTGCCCCCAGGAGGGATAGAGCCTCGGGCCAGGGCAGGCAGCATGCACTCCTGGAAACCTAGCACCCAGGACCAGGGTGAGTATCATCGTCTTCAACACCACCGCTCTTTTCATGCCCTTCCCATGGATTCTGTATTACAGCTTCAGACTCACATCTCCCTTGAGCAGGCAAGGACCCAAGGCGTACAGCTTATTCCTGCCAGGATAGTGCCGCGTCTGTCACCACCTAAGTTTAGCAGGCATCCCTGCTTTCCATTCGAGAATTTTTTTAAATCAGCTACCCAACCCATATTTATTGCAAACCATTTTCTATAGAACTTGAATCCTTGCAGGGGTGGAGAGACGGCTTTGTAGTTAAGAGCTGCTCGTGTGGAGAATGATCACCGGCACCCACATGGGGGCTCATGACCACCTCTAATTCAAGTTACAGGGAATCTAACACCCTCCTCTGGCCTCTGCACGCACCAGACACACAAGTGATAAACATACTTATGCTCATACATATAGAATAAAAAGAAGTAAATCAGGCCAGGTGTGGGAGGCACCTGGAAGTGGAGTTACAGATGGTTGTGACCCACCATGTAGGTGCTGGGTATTAAACCTGGTTCCCCTGCAAAAACGAACACTCTGGGGGCTGGAGAGAAGGCTCAGAGGTTAAGAGTATTGCCTGCTCTTCAAAAGGTTCTGAGTTCAATTCCCAGCAACCACATGGTGACTCACAACCATCTGTAATGGGGTCTGGTGCCCTCTTCTGGCCTGCAGGCAAACACTCAGACAGAATATTGTATACATAATAAATAAATAGGATAATGGTGTTCCTGTTTAAAAAAACAAAAAACAAACAAACAAGCAAAAAAACGAGCGCTCTTAGCCATGGAAACAATTATTTAGCTCTCTGCTTGACTTTTAGCTTGTTCCTCATCCCCACTGGGACACACACGCTGTCCCCATTGTCCACTTGGCACAGCACTCTTGTCAGGTGGTCCCTGTGGGCCTGTGTTCTTTCTCCAGCTTTCTGTCCTGTGAATGACCAGTCCCAGCCTTACCCCAGCTCCGCCTTGCCCAGCAGCTTGAGCTCAGTGGATAAACCAGAGGCTTCTGCACCAGACACCAGGCACCTGTGGCTGGTAGGTGACCGGGTGGTTTGCCCTGGATGCCCTCTTCAGCATCATCTTCATCCTTTCACTAGTGTGGTGCCTGAGAGAGATGGGGAGCATTCCTCAGGATGTGTCTGACTTTGTCTTTGTCTGAGGGGACCAAGGTCCAGGTTCCTGTATCTGGGGAGATTGCTCTTTGCTGCCACTTGCTGGTACACATTGGTACTGCAACCCCAAACCCAGAGACTTGTCTTTCAATTTCTCCAAGGCCTAAAGTTCTAGTGGGGATCAGGAGAGATGATGAACCCTGAATTGTAGGACAATTGAGGGCAATACAGTGTTGCAGGAAGTGTGCTGTTGGCTGAGACTCTGACATACTGGGTCCCGTCAGCTTTGAGTTTTGTGTTGTTTGTATGAAGAACTAATACTGCTTGCTGACTTGGAGCCCCGACTTGGGCCTGAATTTCACTGTGCAGATTTATCAAATGAAATAACAGGTAAAAGCTGACGGTAGATTATAGGGCATCCTACATGTGTGTGAAGGACACTAACTGCGGTTTACACCGTCATCTCACTGAGGCTTTGTCCCGCGCTACCGTCTCGCCCGCAAGAACGATGCGGGACACTTAGGATTCTTCTGCAGTAAAGCTTTATGCATCTTGAGAGGGAGAGCATAAGCTTACATGGCGGAGACCCCGAATGAGGGGAACCCAGCCCTTATAAAGGAAACAGTCCTCGCTTCTGACGTGTCACTCTTGGATGGGTCCACTGCCCATTATCCCAGATGATGCCTCGAGAGTAGGCAGGGACGCAGCGGTAGGGAGTTACCAAGCACGTGCGCTGGGATTAAAGGCGTGTGCTACATCACCTTGAACTCACAGAGATCTGCCTGTCTCTGCTTCCCAGGCATAGGGGCCAAAGGCGTGCACTACCACGCCTTGAGGTCACAGAGGTCAATCTGCCTCTGCCGCCCAGGCATCAGGACTAAAGGCGTGTACCGCCACACCTTGGGGTCACAGAGGTCAATCTCTACCTTTGTTCCTAGAAGCAATGGAGAATGTGGTCCGGCCCTCCACAAGGCTTGGATTAAGACAGGTGCTAAAATGCTTTAAAAGGTATAACTTCTATGTAAGAATAAGTCAGCCCTATTAATTTTATTTGTTTGTTTATATGAGTATTTTGCCTGCACATATGTCTGTGTACCATGTGCATGCCTGGTGCCTGCCGAGGTCAGGTGTCAGATTCCTTGGAACTGGAGTTCCCGATGACAGTGAGTCCTGTCTGTGGGTGCTGGGAACTGAGCCTGCATCCCTCTGAGAGAACAGTGATGTTAACTCCTGACCCACTGCTCCAGCCCCTCATTCATCTAGATTGAAAGGTAATGCCCATATGGTAGAACGAGAGAACGACTTTAAAAAGTGGTCGTTCAACTTCCACACACACATGTAAGATAAATACATGTGAAGGAACTGTTTTTAGCTGGATAGTAGTGATGCCTTTAATCCTAGCACTTGGGAGGCAGAGGCAGGAGGATCTCTGAGTTTGAGGCCAGCTTGGTCTACAGAGTGAGTTTCAGGACAGCCAGGACTGTTTCACAGAGAAACTCTGACTCGAAAAAACAAAACAAAACACTTATTCATTTGTTATTTATTTGTCTTATGTGCATGTGTGTTTTGTCTGGATGTGTGCGCCACATGCATGCACTGCCTGTGAGATCAGAAGAGGTGAGTTAGAGTCTCTGGGACTGAAGTTACAAATAGTTGTGAGCCACCATGTGGGTGCTGGGAATTGAACCCAGGTCCTCTGGAAGAGCAGTCAGTGCTCTTAACCACTGAGCTATCTCTCCAGTGTAGTAAGGAGGCCACTAGTTAGTTCCTGGCCACTTAGCCCCAAAATAATCACACAGAAACTGTATTAGTTAAATCATTTCTTGGCCCATTAGCTCTAGTTTCTTATTAGCTAACTCTTACGTATTAATTTAACCCATTTCTATTAATCTGTGTATTGCCATGTGGCTGTGGCTTACCAGCTAAAGTTCTGGCGTCTGTCTCTGGCTGGGCTACATGGCTTCTTTCTTACTCTTCCTCCTTTCTACCAGCATTCAGTTTAGTTTTCCCCAACTACCTCTATTCCCTGCACAGGCCCAAGACAGTTCCTTTATTAACCAATGATATTCACAGCATACAGAGGGGAATCTCACATCACTCCAGCCACATCTTAAGGCTAGAAAATTAAGGACCATTTCTTGTTCAAGGAAAGAAGGGGCATGTTTTAAAATTCCACAAATCCCACTGTAGCCTTTCAGTTCTGAGATCTCAAAAAGTGCTTTCTGAAAGTTAGGCTATCAAAATCAGAGAACCTGGTGGCCTTTAGCCCTGCCCCCATCCCTGAGAGGTGACTACTAACTTCTGCATCTGACACAGGGACTCCTGACCACAAATAACTCAACAAAAAGAACCTGGAGTCCTGGGACCTCAGATCGTGTGGAACATGCAGAAACTCCTGGTGCTGTCCCAGGACTAAATAGCTCTCCCTGCACAGGGCTACCAATGCACATTCTAGAAAAACATCCAGTTTCCTTCCTCATGGTACCCTGTGTGTTGGTCCCCATCCTGCCTCCACGAACAACAGCTAGCATTTTGAGTTCTGTGTGCCTGGTACCATGTTAAGAATTATATGTTGTCCAGGTGGTGGTAGCATACACCTTTAATCCCAGCACTCGTGAGGCAGAGGTAGGCGGATCTCTGTGAGTTCGAGATTAGTCTGGGCTACAGAGCAAGTTCCCCAACAGGTTCCATGGCTACTAAGAAACCCTATCTCAAAAAACCAAAAAAGAAAAAAAAAAAGAATTGTATGTTGTATTGCCTCAAGGGAGCTGAAGCAACCGCATTTTACAGGAAAAGTAGGCTTAGAAGGTCTAGTGTCCAGTCTTAAGCCACACACTAGTAAAGTTAAACCAGGACCGCTCATCATGATGCCAGTTAGGACAGATGGTCTGCTGAGTACAGGAGAGCACGCTTGGGGTCAGGCAGGGCTCCTGGGGACAGTACAGATCAGGGCAGAGGGGCGTGGGAAGGTTCTGTGGAGAAGGTTAGAACAATGGTGTGTGCCTGTAAGCAGGAGATGGGGTTTTCTGGCATGGGGGCAGTGAGGACAGTGGACAGTGCCCTGGGTCATGGGACTAGGGAACCTTGCTGTATTGGCAGCGCCTCCTTGAAGCAGATCCAGCCCCCAGTTGTGAGTGAGCTGATGCCCATACTTGAGTAAGTTACCAGCTTGCTTGGACTGAGACCAGGTAACTGTAGGGTCCCCAGGATGTTGAGCAAGCAGGAGCCTCTCCCTCACCCCCAGGAGTTCAGCCACCCTGTGGAGAGTTTGGCTCTGACTGTGGAGGAGGTGGTGGATGTGCGCCGGGTGCTGGTGAAGGCTGAGATGGAGAAGTTTCTGCAGGACAAGGAGCTCTTCAGCAGCCTGAAGAGGGGGAAGGTGAGGCTTGGATGCGCTGGGCAGCAGGGTAGGGATGTTGTGAGCAACAGAGGGTGGGACCAGGGTCTGGGGCTGACTCAGTGGCTGGATAGAAGCCCTGAGGCAAGCACTCCTGGACTCGGACTCCAGTGGCCTTCCACAGCCACGCTCTAACCTTGTCTCTCTTTGCAGATTTGTTGTTGCTGCCGAACCAAGTTTCCCCTATTTTCTTGGCCACCTACCTGTCTATTCTGCAAGAGGTGAGCCTTGATCAGCAGACAGACTAGCAAGGGAGATGTTCCATCCCACCCAGCCAGTTCATTGTTTTCTTATTCCTTCCTGTCTCCCCCCAATCCCAGAGACAGGGTCTTACTATACACCCCAGACTGGCCTCAAAGTCATGATCTGCCTGCCTCAATTTAAGTTGCAGGGACCATAGGTTAGTACTGTTATGCCTTGTTTAGGCTACATTTATTTATTTATATTTGGTTGGTTGGTTTTGTTTTGCGACAGTGTCTTACTACGTAGCCCTGGCTGGCCTGGAACTCACTGTGTAGATCAGGGGAGGAACCCATAAAGATCTGGCCCTACACTCGCAGAAATCCGCCTGCCTCTGCCTCCTGAGAGCTGGGATTAAAGGTGTGTGTCACTACCACTTGGTTTGGGTTGAATTTTTTTTTTGTTTTTGGAAACAGGGTTTCTCTGTGTATCTCCTGCTGTCCTAGAACTCATCCTGTAGACCAGGCTGGCCTCAAACTCACAGAGATCCACCTGCCTCTGCATCCCAAGTGCTGGGATTAAAGGCGTGTGTCACCACCACCTGGCTAGGTTTGAATTTTTACAAGAAGGATTTTGTTTTTGTTTTGTTTTTTAACGAGACAGGGCCTCACTATATAGCTCAGGCTAGCCTCAAATTCAATCCTCCTGCCTCAGTGCAGTGTCAACACATCTGACAGGCATTTACTTCTGAAATTGGATATGAGAATTTTAAAATGCTAATTGCTGTATAAAACTGAATATCTTACTTGAAGCCTTTGTACTTAGATGGTGCTTCTATGGTGAAAGGCACCAGAAACACTCCAGGCCAGATATTCCTGAGAGAGATAAGAGGCAGAGGTAAATGAATGTGATCCCAGGAAGTAAATGTACCGAGTGACCAGGGATCTGGCCAGTCAGCTGATGGCTGGTTCAGATACATGCTGCAGACATGGAAGCTGGGAGGAGGATGTTTTCCCTTTCTAGGCTTCCTTACACTGACATTGCTTTCTCTCTATTCCTTCCAGAGCTGTGTGCACTTCCTGTAGTGTAAAGGTGAGGATTTCGGGGAACCTTCCAGGTCTTGGTGAAGTGGGATGGGGTACTGCTGTTTCCAGTTGGTATGTTGGACAATCGCCCTCTTAGGAGGCACTTCATCCATTGCCTTCTTCTAAGAAGCTGTTCTTTCGCTTCCCAAGACTGATTAGTGTATTTACTTGTTTTGAGTGTAAAGCCTAGGCTGACTAAAATTCTCTATGGAACTGAGGATGACTTTGAACTCCAGATCCTGTCTCTGCCTCCCAGGTGCTGGGATTACAGGCAGGAACCACACACATGATCTAAAACTGTACAGTTTGTTTTCTTTTTTGGTTGGTTGGCTTGTTTTTGGTGTTTCTTTTTAAATATTTATTTATTTACTATAAATACAGTATTCTCCCTGCATGTATGCCTGCATGTCAGAAGAAGGTACCAGATCTCATTACAGATGGTTGTGAGCCACCACGTGGTTGCTGGGAATTGAACTCAGGACCTCTGGAAGAGCAGTCAGTGCTCTTCATCTCTGAGCCGTCTCTCCAGCCCTTTAGTTTGCCTTTCTTTTAGGTAGGGTCTCACTATGTAACCCCCACTGACCTGGAACTCACTATGCCTGGCCAGGACTATAGTTTCTTAAAACACTCATAGGTAGTATTTGATATTTTTGAGACAAGGTCTGGCTGTGTACAGCATTTGCTGGCCTGGAACTGGCTATGTAGAGCAAACTTGCTTTGAATTCAGAAACATGCCTGCCTCTATCCCCTGAGTACTAGGACTAGAATTGTATGTGTGCACCACCATGCCTGGTCCTCATAAGGAGTCTTAAATTTTGTTCTTAAGGTGCTAGAGAGATGGCTTATAGGTTAAAAGCACCCGCTGCTGTTGCAGAGGACCTGGGTTTGGTTCCCAGAACTTACATTGTTGACAGAGGTTTCTGTCCTGCCTGGTCCCACAGCTGTTCAGCCACAAAGAAACACACAGAGGTCTACATTAATCATAAACTGGTTGGCCTATTAGCTCAGGCTTCTTATTAACTCTTACATCTTAAATTAACTCATAATTCTTGTCAGTGTTAGCCACGTGGCTTGGTACCTTTTATCAGTGAGGCATTCTTATCTTTCTTCCTCTGCATCTGGATGATGACTGCAGACTGACCTTTCCTCTTCCCAGAATTCTTCTGTTCTAGTTGCCCTGCCTATACTTCCTGCCTGGCTACTGGCCAATCAACATTTTATTAAACCAATACAAGTGACAAATCTTCACAGGGTACAAGACCGTTGTCCCACAGCATTATATTACAGCTAACAAATTTGTAACTCCAGTTCCAGAAGATCCAATGCCCTCTTCTGTCTTCCAAGGGCACTGCATGCACAGAGTACACAGACATGAATTCAGGCAAAACACCCATACATACAAAGTAAAAATAAATGAATAGAAAGTTTTACCAGTTGTTAAGTATCCCATGTTACTCACATGTGTGCCTGGAGACACACAGCTTTTCTCTCTCCTCCTACAAAATCCCCCTTTTGACATGAGGGAGTTTTCAGCAAGACCATGTTGCATTTGGATGCATGCTTCCACTCAGAGGTAAAGGACACAAACACCTGGAACAGTATTGACCATCATGCCTCAGCTTAGAAGAGGAACCTAAGGAACCTAAGGAACCTAATATGAGGAACTTTTCTCATATTCTCTACCATCTGCCCCTGGACCACAGGAACACTCCATCCTTGTCCATGTGAAATACTGATTGTGTGCAGAACTTAAAATCACACTCTTTGTGCCGTAAAACAGTTCCCAAACCCTACCAAGTTACAGTTTGGATGAGCAGAAAATGTAGATGGGGTGTGACAAGGGAGGAGCCTGTGCTGGGCCCTCAGGTGAGAATTTTAGGGGGTGAGGAGGATAAAGGGTGCCTGGATGGTTGTTCAGGAACCTTCTACACACCCTTCCTTGTGTTGCAGATGAAGATGCCTTCCAAGAAGTGTGCACACATCCCTGTCTACACACTCGGTTTTGAGAGTCTTCAGAAGGTGCCAACTACCAAAGCCACGCCAACACTGAGGAGAGATGCCTTCCAGTATGTTTTTTTTTTTTTCACTGTTGCTGGTATCCTGTGGTAGTGGAGAATTGAATGTAACTGGGAAACTAGGGCAGGTGTCAATGGCACCGTGAGGATTTCCCCAAGGAACAAGTCATTTGGTAGGGCTCTAGAGGCAGGGTTGTAGGGAATGGTTTGGGTGTCTGGGCTCAGGACCTCAATGCCCACCCAGGAAGAACCTTTGCAGGGATGCACACTGCCAGGTGCGCTCAGTAAGACTCCTATGGCTGAGCCATGAGGAAGGAGAGAAGAGGCAGCAGAGAGCTTGGAGGGGTGGCTGTGGACATAAAAAGCAAGGTTTGGGATTCTGAAGTGGCAGGACAAGGCCTCTGGAGGACCCCAGCTGTAATAGAGTTCTCTCTTCTCATGGTTCTCTCCTGGCATCTTTCCATCCTAGATCCCTGCAGGGACCAAAATGGCGGAGTGTTGAGGAGGAGTTCCCCCACATCTATGCCCATGGCTGTGTCCTAAAGGATGTCTGCAGTGACTGCACCAGCTTCGTGACTGATGTAGTATGCTCCAGCCGCAAGAGTGTGGATGTCCTCAATGCCACTCCACGACGCAGCCGCCAGACCCAGTCCCTCTATATCCCCAACACCAGGACTCTCAACTTCCAGTGACTGTTGTGATGGCCACCCTGCTCCCCATCCTGGAACACAGCTGCCATCAAACCCCTTGTGCATGTACATATATACATATATAGATACATTTATAATATATATACAGCCTATATATTTATATTTATATACATTGTCTCTTTGCCCTAAAGTTCATTTAGGGCCTTGTCTCTTTGCCCTAAAGTTCATTTAGGGCCAAGCTTACTCTAGGACCTTCCTTCTTTCCTCTCAGGAGTCCTTGGAAAGGCTGGGAGGGACTGGGGAATGGAGAAAGGGCAGCTTTCCTGCTCCATGCCTTGGTTCTCTTGTAGTGAGCATACGGCAGCCTCTATTCCCTGGGTAGACAGGGCACCTTGGTTCTCAGGTGAACCTGAATATCAGATCTCCTGTCCTTTAGGGTGCTCAAGCAGCAGAGGCACCTGGAAGGCCTCTGAGTCTCTGGGATTGTGCTGTGGGGAAGGCCAGGTACCCCAAGCCAAGCTTGCTCTTGGTCCCTTTCTGGCACTGTGTGACTTTCCTGGGGAGTTATGAACAAACATCTGTCCCCCCTGCATAGGTCACTGACAGACCAAAGAAATGATTCCACTCAAGTCTAGCTTGATGAACCAATGAGTCTTCTGAGATTACAGTAACATGGTGAGGGGTCCCTTAGAGGAACATAAGTGACACTCACGTAGTTTCATCACCCCCAAGTACTACCCCAGCACAGGTGACAGCTCATGAAAGGTGCTTCAATGTAAGTCACACCCCCAACAATTTTCTACTTCCTATACTGAGACCATGGTGCAGCTGGGGTGGCACATGGGGCGGGGGGTGGGGGGTGTTGGCCGGAATCTCCTGTGAGGGCCTGGTGACCTGCTTCCAACCAGGTTAATAATCCTATAACCACCACATAATGTGTTATCTACTTCACTGCCATGGTTGCAAGTCGATGTGCTCGGCAGGTTACCACAGCTGCACGGTGCTGACGGTTATGTTCATTAAGGCCAGAGGAAATACTTACACAGGACTCAGGAAGGGCTGTGCTAAGCACCCTGCCTGCTTACATGCACCCAAGAGGTGGGTTTTGTCATCACCACACTTTACAGATGAGGAAACCGAGGTTCAGGAAGGTAAAAGGATTTGACTGCTTATCTCAGAAGATGCCAGAATCCCAACTGTAGCCTGTTAACTGAGCCTTCCTGATGCCTCCAGGCTCTGACACCCTGCTTAAGGCTAGAAGAGGCACCAAAGGCACATGACTGACAGATGGATCTGTGGGTGTTGTCTTTGAAATTAGAACACCCAATAAAAGCAGCTAGCTCTCAGCACTTGTTAGCACTTCGTAGACTGCCTTTGGATATTGTCTTCTAGATTTTAAAAGACATTTATGTTATGTGGGGTTTTTTGCATGAATTGTTGTGCACTATGTTCATGCAGGAGCTATCAAAGTGGAGTTGCAGGCAGTTGGGAATAGCCATGCGGATGCTCGGAACTGAACTCAGGTCCTCTGCCTGTGCGGCATCTTAACCACTCTTAACCACGGGGCCATCTCTCCAGCCCTTTGTTTTGTTTTAAAAGAACAGGCAGAGAGGATTACTACTGACACTCAACAAGCAATAAAAACACCCACGTTTAACCAAGTATGGAGACTCACACTTGTTATCCCAGCACTTGGGAATTAGAGTCAGGAAGATCATTAATTTGAGGCTCGTCTGGGCCATGTAGCAAGCTCTGGAGAAGTCTGGGCCATATAATGAACTCTCAAAACAAGAAAACCCTCATGTTTATGTAGTGCTCTCCCGGACAGCTACTCCTAGGAACTAAGAACAACTGCTAATATACAGACTCGAAAGTAGCCACATATCCAGCTCACACTCCCAAACACAGCCCCGCAGGTTCTGATCTCCACATAACACAAATGAGAGCAACAAAAGCCCATCCTGGGAAACAGCTAGGCTGAGCTGAGGGGTAATGCTTACAGGCTGTACAGTTCCCTACACCTGCTTCCTGAGGCTGCTCAGGCAGGAGAGCAGCATGTGTTTCTGTCTTACTGTCATTGGGGTTGCTGGTCTCTTCCAGAACAGTAGGCTGTGCATCAGCCCACTGAACCAGCCTCAGCCTCATCTGTTTGATACTTGGTCAAACAGAGTGGCTCAGAGCCGAGATTTCCCGAAGGACCAGATCTGCAACAGTTCGGGGAGACATAGAGCTAGTGGTTCAGGGAAGACCAACTCCGAGGTTGGGCCTGATGCATCCTTCAGTGTCCACAACCTCTCCCAGGTTCCATACTGAGAGTTTCTATTTTAGTCATAGGTAAGGCTACTGGCCTGGGTAAGCTGGTCACACCACCTGATCACAGATGACACAGAAACTAGCCTGGTGCTGAACACTCAAAGTAGACGTGAAGATGGTGTTCTGAGCCTGATGTGGAGGAGGCTGGGACTTTTAACTGTGACCAGAAGCAGGAAAGGGGATGTGGGGTGACATCCTGAGACAATAGCTACGGGACATCAACTTTGAAGTACCTTAAGATTCATGCATAGTGTGGGCAGAGCAGCTAAGCCAGTCACTGGACTCAGTATTCAAGCTAGGGAGAAACCAAGATTCCAGGGGGAGGGAGGCTGGAGTGGAGCTCGTGGACAATGGGGTCAGAGCAGAGCTGGAAATAAGGGATGCTGCCCTGCCCACCTGTCCTTGCAAATAGCCTACCTTGTTGGGATTTGGGGAGTCACATGAAGGGAAACCCAGGTTCTCTCTGGGTTACTTACTCATTAAGTCAGTTTCTCCACCTGTAAAAGGATATCTATCTCCCAAAATAAGAATCTAGAAAAGTGACGGCTGTCCCTACACTCACAGTTCCCTCTCCTCTGCTCCCAAGGTGGGAAAGGGTCCGACCCAACACCATTTATTTTACATTTGTACTTTGGAGGTCCTCAATCCTGGCTTGTCTAGGGAATTTTTTTTTTCATAAGTATAAAAAACTGGGCCTGGACATAGCACAGCTTTGTAATCCTGAACTCTGTAGATCAGGCTGGCCTCGAACTCAGAGATTTGCCTGCCTCTGCCACCCGAGTGCTGGGATTAAACGTGTGTGCCACCACTGCCCGGATCTTGGGTTTGTTTTATTTTAAAGAAGGAAAGAAAGAAAACAGAGCCAGATCTGTGCAGAGGGCCTCGACATCCTTACTGTGAAAACCTTCCTGAATTAGAATTCACGTAGGGCTGACCACCGAGCCAGACCTAGACGCTACTCCTCACCCAGTACCACCAGAACACGAGCATCCACTGTCGCGTTCGCGGCAATAAAAAGCAACTCCTAGTGCCTAACTCGGTTCCATGCATCTCAGAGAGGAGCTATGCAGGAATCTGTCTTGACGATGTTCCTCGACCTAGACGGTTTATAAAGGCGGAAACCGTCCCTTTGCAGTCTAGTAGCCGTGTGGAGGTGGGAACCTTCGCACAGGTCGCATAGGCAATGCAGACAGGGGCATCACGGTCCCATCCGAACAGTCTCTCCGTACCCAGACCGCAGCAAAGTGCGTACCTGCTCCCATCCCGCCCCACCTCGCCCCACCTAACCAGTTCCCCTCTCCCCCGCCCGCCAGCCCCGGGAACCACGTCAGTGGCGTGCCGTGCGGCGTTCTGAGCCTGCGCGTTCCCGTCCGCGTCACAGCCTGCGATCTGCAACCCGTACCCCTCGAAAGCCGAAGAAGCACTGCAGTACGGTCGGCGCCGAGCCGCCGCCAGGGCCCAACTCTCGCGAGAACTCTCCGGGCCACCCTCGCACCTTCTCGGGCTGCACGGGCAATTGGGAGGAAATTCCGGAGAGCCTCTGCGCGCAAACGCGACACGCCAACCTTGCGCCAGCGCGCCACAAGTGCGCAGGCGCCGCCGCTCGGCTGCTCTTCCTCGTCCCTCTACCTACATCAGGCTGTCGGGTCCTATGTCGCGCCGGGCCCTCCGGAGGCTGAGGGGGGAACAGCGCGGCCAGGAACCCCTAGGGCCCGACGCCTTGCAGTTTGTCCTCCCGGATGACGATGACGCGGAGGAAGAGGGACCAAAACAAGGATCGGGTGGCCGGCGCCCCGGGGGCGCCGGGAAGGAAGGAGTCCGTGTCAACAACCGGTTCGAGCTGGTAAGGAGCTGGGCAGCCAGAGGGGACGGGGTGGGGGGCATGACGTCATACGAAGGGGGCCTAAAGTTGAGTCTAGACTGCAAGCGAGTGGGCGGAGTGAAGGGACTGCCCTGCATCGGGGAAGGCGGGTCTTCGGGAGGGTGGGTGGGGTGATGAGGCAGTGCAGCAGAGCTAGTCGGGGTGGTGGCGAGGGGCGGGGCTCCCCGGCCGAGATCGAGTGGAAGGTGGGAGAAAATACTGAGCGAAGGGGCTCCTCAAGGTTGCGAGGGGGCGGGATTCTTTCAAGGGATTGAGTGACAGGACTTCGCTGCAGGATAGGGCGTGTCTCCGACCAGTGTCTAGAGGCTTGGTGTGACATAGGGGCAGGACCGGGCCGTGACGTCAGTGCGGGCGGGGCATGACCTCTGAGACAGATAAGGGGAGGGCCCGCAGGGTTTGGTGAGTGGAAGGTGGGATTCAGTTGGGTCTAGGCTTCAGTGAAAGGGTAGGGTTGTGCTGTTTGGGGGCAGTGCTGTAGAGCGGTGGGCATGGCTTCCTGTCTGCCACTTGAGGGGGTCTCGATTCTAGCTCTTGACAAACATCTCGGTTTATTGGCCACAGCACTTCTGTCTGTCCCAGCATTTGTACCTAACTCATACTTTACAGCAGGTGTCTGACGCACTCGAGTCCCATAATGTTCTTTCTTGAGACTGCCTGACCTGTGTCTGCAGTTTCCATATGTGCATGAATTATGATTCTGGCTTCATGTGTGGGCAGATAATATGTCTGTCTCAGTCGTTTAGTGTCTCCAGTGTGCACATATGGTAAGGCTTCAGTGGCCATTTTTGAGTGAGTGAAAACTTGTCTGCAAGTCCTTTGTAATAACCTTGCAGTGGGTTATCGATTGGCAGGTTTAAAAGTCCATATACAAAGATATTGAGGAGCGTGGGAAATGTCATACACATTTTAGGAGTTTGATTCGGAGATCGTTTACCTCTCCAGGAAGGAAGGAGAGGGATTGATGTACATGC